AAAAAGTAATTTTGATATTTCATTTTGTTCTTATACACACTTATAACACTTAAAAACACGTTTGGTTAAGCCAGAATGACTTTATCAGAATAAAGCCTCAAGTCATTCACCCCATTCCCTGTCATAAACTACATTTAATAATACACCTACATATGTAACTGAAATATTACTAAAATAATTGGCTTGCGTGAGACGCTACACTTAAAAGTTTACCTGTTAAGAAAACTGCGCTTAATGCTTATTGCCCTGCTATTAAAAATCTAGAATAAATTTGACTTGCCTGTGATTTGTAGAAGTACGTAAGTAAATAAGTTCTTATGCTGCAAGCATTTATGGCACACTCAGCATAATTTTTTTTTAACACATTTTGATGTTGCAGACACATGTGTCGCCAGTGCGGACTCTATAGTAGTGGTCTTCGAACCAACACCCACTATGTCGCACAAAGTCATGTAAGTATGTACATTCAAATGCATAATTTTATGGGTAGAAACCATTTTGTTAACAACTTTGTATTTTCTTGCTTCTATTCATGTACATATGTACATACATTTACATATATGTATGTATATTTGCACTGAAAATCACGCGACAGCTGATATCTTGATAGCCTTATTGATTTCCTTTAATTTCACTTCAAATAAGTTTCATGCATACATACTTAGCCACTTTCAGCTACATACGTATGTGCAATATGTTTTTTGTTTTTGCATGCTCGCAAATAGTCGTTGCTACTGAGCGTAGTAGTTGCGAAATGCTCATGTGTAGAAGTTTGGCAACTACTGGTACCTTGACTACATGAAAAATTAGTATGTACTAAGAAAAGAGCAAAAATTATACATACATATATGTATATATATACATACACACGTGTATATGTGTGTAACTATGAAATCACCGCATTGAACCGGCGGTCATTGTACTTCGAGCGAATGAGCAGAGTAAAAGGTCCTTTGATTGCTAACAAGTAACTTTTTGGTATAACATGCTTCTACAAGCGAATATTTTTTCTAGAGAACAAAAGTCTTGGAATAACACGAACAAAAAGAAGTAAACAGTCAGTGGCTACTGGACAGTGTCGGAAAGTTATGTTAGTTGGAAGTTATAAAGCTCAAGGGCGGTAACGATATGCGACTTGTGAAAATAGAGACATATGTAAGCATATGTATTTGTTAGGGTGTTCGATTGTTCAGCTTTTTTTCGAAAACCGGTTTTCGAGTTATTCGAAAAAAGGCCATTTGAAAACCACAGCTTCCTCATTTTCAAATTAAGAAAAAAAGCGGATATATCAGATTTATTTAACGAATATTTTCTCTATATTTAGTAACACTTGCTGTTAGTGTTTGGGTTACCAGTAAAACAGAAAAAAGGCGTGTAAAAATTCATACCTATTTAATGGGGTACACCGATCTTATGAAAGATTAGGTCGTTAAAACAACAGTCCTGTGTCGGGGAAAAAAATTTTCAATAAAATAAATATTTAAAACATCGATTTATTTGATAGTAAAAGTCCGGCTTACTCAGCATTCGAAAAATCACGAGTTCAAAAAAAAAAACGCTTAAAAATATCCTGAAAAACTCGACCGGGCTGGAGAAACCGTGTCAATCACCCTAGTATTTATGTAGTTATAGATGTATGTGTAGTTCTCGTGGGAAATATGTTTGTATATACATATATGAACATATTTGCAGCTTAAGTGCCTCGTGTGTAACCGCAACTAAGCACTACATATTAGTCGTAGCTCATTTCAGTATTTCGTACTGCAGGCGTTGTGATTTTAGTGTCTGGACATGGTCTTAAACTGTTCTATATTTATAAAGGCGTGCATATGTGTGCTTACATTTCCACTTAAATTTACACATATGTATGCTCCTGTCAAAATGTCAAAATATATGTATGTATGTAAGTGAATTTTTGCAGGGTTTGCTGCTTCTTTTATCCTTGAAAAAGGTGAAACAACAACCTGTAAAAAAGCTTTGAGTATTTATGAACATAAGTACATACACGCTAATATTTGTATGTACATACATGTCGTGTGGTGGTATATGAATCCCAGATTAGTAAAATGCCGATGATGTTATAATTAGCCGAGTGGCACGAAAAGAAATCGGCAAATTCTAGGAGTGGTTTCATCGCTTTGTATCGCCTATAAGTGACGATATTTAACATTCTGGACTCATAAGTCATTATACATCTATTCTTTAGATATATGTAAGTATGTACATATGTATATGTATGCCAGTCTGGCTAAAGTGCATGGCTTTTAGCGCAACCAAGCATACATACATATTTACAGCCTAAAACGATGGAAATTGTGCCATGAATGCCAAGTGGTTAACACTTGAGTGCAGCCTTGCGAGCCATGCCAAGGGTCAGCTGCCTTCATACGAGGCAAGGATACAATTTAAGTACAACGATTTGCACTTTTTCCGTGGTACTGCTAAATTTATTACAACTTGTTGCTGAATTGAAAATATTTAATAAAAATATTTAGTATTCAACTCATACCTGGGTACCGAGACGTTGAAGCAAAGATACGAAGACTTTTATCCAATCAGGAATCGTAGGGGTAAATATTATAACTGTTAATAAAAGATTGCATTGTAATACAACTTAGTCGCATAGCAGTCCATACAAATAGCAAAATCAATGCTAATGACTTGTTTTGCATTTCAAAAAAAAAAAAATGTTCGAAAATCGCTAGCTTGAAGTAGTGTTATAAAAATTCCTTGTGCTCTATTATATTCTTCCTAATTAATATAATAATAAAAGCTAGTGTTTTTCATGGTTCTCCATGCTTACCTGCAGCAACCTGCGATAGGCGCAACATTTTTCTGCTGCATAATAATGGTATCCTGGCCCAGAGTGCTCTACCGAACAAGCACAGAGTAAAATAAACAAAAATATTTAAACTATGGTCCCGACAGCCGTTCTCTACAAAGTTTCTAGCAGTTTTTAGTAAATCTACGGAATCTTTCTGAGAGTTAATTAAGTATTAATTATTATTATTTCATTACTTAGATAATTTACTTGAAATACAAGATTATTGACCTATATGTACTAAAATTTCGCAATTTTTGGTATAAGCCTTAGGGTCAAGTAAAAATTCAATGAAAATTACTAAAAATATAACGCGTGCTTATTAATGTTTCTGTTTAATTTTTTGTTAATACAATTTTTAAATTTTTCGGTTACAAAGTTTTCGTTGACGTGCCGAATAGGCCTGTATAGACTAAACTATCGTCTCATTCTTAAGCTCTACCCAGAATTACAGCGGACGACGGTAAAGCGGTTAGTGGTAAGTGAACAGCTGTTCAGTTGTCATCTGTCGTTTTGATTTTGAAATTTTCATTAAAATATTTTTACTTTTTCGGTAGGTGCGTATGTGTGATATTTGCTGGAAATAAAAATGGTTACAAACATTTGCGAACTTGTGAAAATAATAAAAATTATTACAATCAACACTAGTTAGTCTAAATTGGTCCATCGCAGAACGAAAAAAATTCCTTATACGAGCTATTAGAAGACGGAACGATAGTGCACAATACGGCAGAACTTTCTGGAGTGATACGCAGATACTAGGGCTTAATGCGTTCGTCTTCAATTCGTGTAACTTGTTTAAGACTGGGAACGGAGGATAATATTGGGTCCCTAGATTTTCTTCGTGAATAGTCATTAAATGTCTAGTTTCTTCTACAAATCGATGGCACAAGATATTTCCAAAATAAAGTAATGTTAATTCAAGTTGTTTGAAAAGATCAAATCATCTCGTCATATTTCCAATAAGTCAGTCCAACCGAATGTAAATAGAAGACCTCTAATGTGTTCAAGCCATTATTTCTTGGGGTAACTCATCAAAATTGTGATTCTTATTTCGGCATTAGCGTTACTGCTGGCGATACATAGTACCTATCAGTTTGGGTTTGAAATCACAGTCACCATTGAAACTTTCTCTCTTTCAATTCTTATGAGGAGAGAAGAATGTCTTTTTTTTGTATCGAGGACTAATCGTTTTCTTATTAAAGAAAAGAAAAATCACTCTTTCATTTTAATCGTTTTATTCCATGATTTATCTGATTTAAATTTTGAAAAAATTTGATTGTTTTTAATTTTGACCCGATGCTCTCGGTGGACTTTAGTACCCATTGTTACTTTTTCGTGGATATGCTTAACAGCGTATTGTCTGCGAGAAGGACAGCCGAATCCTCTCTACAAGTGTATGTATAGCTTATTCTACCTACCTGCCCTTCGAGTAAGAATGGGTGCTTGAGGACAAAAGGACAACTCTATTTGTCAATTACGTAATTTGAGAGTGTTTAAGTGAAACGAGGAGAGAGGAGAGTTGCAGCCCGGTTCCTTAAAGGGTTTGAAATATTTCACATCCCAAAGCAGGCGATGACCCGTTACTTTTACGTGGTTCCAAAGTATACGAAAAATGAGCATCAAGGCGCATTTCAGCGACTTCCCACAGCTCATAGTCCTATTTTCTAGCCAAGGTTTCCCATGGAAACCGGATTCCTTGAGAGAACTCGTGTGAACCCGAAAGATGCAAGACTTCACTGTACGTTGTCGCACAAGGTTTTTCAGCCATATCTGACGACAAATAAGATATTTCTTAATTTGTCTGCTCCAGCGTGACCAAGCTTATTATTTCATATCCTATATTGAGGATACATATTTTAAGGATTAAGCTGGAAAATTACATTTAAATACTTCCAGGAGCTCGTGAGCCAACTACGTTGAATATTTTTGATAGTAACACTGAAATGTGATAATCCATAGATTTTTTATTTCAGAAAAGAAGTTTACTCAGTCAAAAGATAGCGCGCTTCTATGTAGATTGTTGCAATAAGTAGCGCAAAATATTGATTTTTTCATCATAAATCTAGAACACATAATCTTAGGTATATGTATTAAGTTATATGTATGTATGTATGCATAAAAAATGACTTTTATCTGACGGTTATGTAATAATAGCCCTGACCTTACCTTAGCATAGGAACACACAAGGGAAACATCGCAGGTAAGTCCACACACACACCCACATAAGGCAAGCAACCAGCGATAAAAGCTTACACAATACTCACAAATAGAGTACTTACACGTAAACACAATGTTGCGTAAAAATGGCAAAAAATAATACGGAGCCAGCAAAATAAGGTGATTATAAACACAACTTTGTAGACAAGGTTAAGTTGCCACTAATTGCGGGCCAACATGCAAAATGGCACAACGGCAATGATGCGCTTTGGCCTCGAGCGGTTGCTGAAGTGACTGACTGACGACCGGTAATTGCACAAATGTTAGCAGAAGACATACAAATAATACCTCACACATCCACACACGTGCATATAAACATACGCACACGCAAACATGGGTAGGCAAACATACATTCAACCGAATTTACCGAAAGCCCTATGTGTCCTGAACACAACTTGCAACCAACCGCAAATGTGTGTGTATGTACATTAGACCGCACCACCTTAAAAACGACGAAAGAAAAGTGCGCCGTACACACCACTGAGTCTGAAATATTTTTGCAAGGCACCTACTAGGTCTCGCTATTTTACATTTATTTTAAGATCCGAATTTATTTGCCGAAGATAAGACAACAAATGTAAATACGAACCCTACGTTCGGCCAAAAAAATTATTTGTGTTTAAAAATTGCATTGCAAAAATACTTTAGATCAGCCCTAAGTCTACGGCAAATTTTTTGTTTTCTGGTATGATCTAATGTAGTACATACATACATATGTATTTGTACATATGGAGAGTGGTGTGAGACTCACCATTTACATTGTGGGAAAATGTGAAATGTAATGGAGTAACCGTAATAACCATAAACTGTAAAATCCCGTCATTCGTTCAAGTGGTTGTGTGTAAATGTTTAAGTGACTGTATTAAAAGCAAATCGTACGCTCAAAAGTACATTGCCACACACACACACAGACACACATAAGCCCGCAAATAATCATCAAAAAAAAAAAAAAAAGCACAACTGACTTACGCCCAATTTAATTACGCTCGTGACTATGGCCGCATTCCAACTATTCTCGATACGCAGCAACTCCTGGCGCGTCTCAACGCTCAGATAGCGAGGCTCATGTCCGGAGCTCTGCAGTAGAAAGCAATGTTGACGGCTATCCACCGTTTCCGATTCCTTCACAACGCGGAACATTGTCTGATAGACTTTGTAAGCCACCAATGCTTTCGACAAACCGGCGACATTTAACTGCAAATGGAAGAAGAAGAAGAAAAGAGAATGGTAGAGATATGTTCAAATTTGTGAAGACGCTACAGATAAGTGACTAAAAAGAAATGTAAAGAAAGAAATAAAGAAATCAGTGCAATCAACTAATAAATTAGCAACGAGGCATTAAACTCTTGCACGAGGCATAATAGGAATCACATTGCTGAGGCTCAGCATTCATTTACCCGTACACAATTTGCTCCGCACCCGAAATCCTTTGTGCTTTTGGCGTAGTTTTTGATTCTTTTCATTTTCTAAAAAGTATCGCACAGGGTGGCACGGAGAGGTAGTAACTTGTACGGAGTAAATTGCGTTTTATTCGTTTTAAATTGATTGAAATGGCTGCTTCGTTTAATTTGGCGCAAACAAATGGCTTAAGTAAAGTGGAAAAATTAGCTGGGCGTAAAAAAAAAAAACCTAAAGAGTTGAGTGTTGTTGTTTCAACTACTGGAGCGCACTAATTAGCTCGATTGACCCCCTCGAAACTCGTGCCTATATAATCGTATTTATTTTGTTTTCCTGCCATTAATGTTTGCAAAAGTTTTTAGCTTTATTACATTTAATTGCGTCGATTGTGCGCTTATTTTTTTTTTTAGATTTCCCGCATTTCGTGCGCACAGAGTTGCTGAGCCTTGAAACAAATTCATAAATATGCGCACAATGCAACAATGAAGCGTAAAAATAAGGCAGAATAAAAATAAAGCATTTATTGAGCATTTCATTAGATTTCCAACCATCGGCAAACTAATAGGGTTGCATACTTTCATTTAACATTTTGTAACATTTTTTAGTTTTAATTCGATTCTGAAGTTAGATTTCATTTTGAAGAAGTTTGGCCTGAAAACTCCTAGCGTTCACCAGCTACTTAGGGCCGTTTGAACCATATCTGGTTAACGTCAACTGGATGTAAAACCTCCAGTTGAACACATCGACTGCTTTATCGGTCGCATGCTGTAAGCAGTGAGCCGATAACGTCTATAGCGCTTCTTAAGTGGTAGCTAGAATTAATCACGTTTTATTTTCAGAAACGATGTTTTTTAAGTTGGTTTTTAAGGCTTGAAAATGAAAGGTTACTTATGGCCATAAAATAACGGAATTCGATCTAAAATTCGAATGAAAACAAACAAAATAAAATCTATAGGTCTATAAATTTTTTGAACCCAACTACGTGTTTGTCCTGTAAAAACGAGCCTTTAACTATCAAGTAGTATTTTTGGCTTTGATTCGAGTATTTAGTACTGTGCATAAGTCAATAAAAAAAAAATGAGAAGAATGGTCCATTCAAAGGATATTTATGTAAGCACAAATTGAGTTTGGTTATGCCCGAACATAGACTCATTTGGTCACTAGAATGCATAGCACACAAGCACGAAACTATAGGAGTCTGGCTTCTAACTCGCAGACTGATAATCTGAGATTACGAAAAGGATAAGATAAAACATAAAAAATTAGTATTTTGTGGAGGAAAAGAAAATCAATTCGTTTGTTCGTATTTAAGCCTCATAATAATCGCAGTATTCAAGCAAGATGTGCACAGTGGGTCGTCGATGGTACCTATCGTGACCATATGCCGCCCTTATTAATGATGTATCATAATAAGTTCCATCAGTGCTTACAGCTCTCTTCAGTCTGAGAAGGAAGTTCACCACCACCTTGTCAGGCCCTTTCAGAAAATACTTGGTTATTTTGCAGGTGCCAGCATTGCACCAGTGATGCACTTGATAGTTTCCTCTATGCTTGGCCTTAAAATTGCGTCTGGCCAAATTGAACGCTCCCAAGAACCGCAGTCCGCAAATTACTCGTTACTCTGAACACTAAAGGTCGCAATACCTCATGAGTAAATAGTTGTTTTTATGAGCTATCCAAATACATATATGCTTAAATAATATTTTAAGAAGCACAATAACTTTTCAAAGGCTTCGGAGCAGCTGACGCTAGTGCTCATTCGATTGGTAAACGATCGAAGTCAGCCATGCCGTATGGCCGCAGAGACCACATAGTCTAAGGTAGCCATCTCAAATGCCTCCTCAACATCAGCAATAAATTCCACTAACACTTTTATCCTTGTTACAAGTTAGTGCAGTATTGATTCAAAAGATTTTCCACCCTGGTAGCATGTTGGTGCGTACTAAGGGGCGTGCTCCGAAGATTTTTGCTGACTTATAATCATCTATTACGGTTTGTGAATGAAGATTCAGATGACAGACGGGCTCTAAACAACCTTTCTGGAGTACTTAAAATCTTATCTTCCGATACCTTCATCTAAACTTACATGCGGTGTTCTAAAGGCTCATTAGCCAAAACATTCACAAGTTCTTTAACAGAGCAGCGAAATAATGAAAAGGGTAGCGGAGCATAGCAGTGCTGGAACATGTTGAGTCATTTGTCATTGTTTTCACAAAAGGCTGCAATGACTTTTTACAGCAAGTAAACAAAATTATACCCAGATATTTGCAGAAAGTGTATTAGATTCCCTTAATGAAATGTGTAGAACTAGAAAATGTATGTTTTTAGTTCAAAACATTACCTTAAAGAGAAAATACTCAGAGGTCTGTTAAAATTTATTTCAATTCTCATGTCTGGAAATTTGGTGGTAAAGCAATGCGATGGAATGCCAATTGGTGAATAAAAATAATCTGTACTCAATACTTTTCAACTATTTGCCGCTTAAACCACAGTGCGTGCCTGCGCTGCCGTTTTTGTGGCATCAAAATTTCCATTCGCCTTGAAGCAGCAACATAGTCCATGAGCATTTATAGCATAAAATAGGATTTTTATTTGCATAGCATGAGTGCTTTGAGATGTTTTTGCGAAAATATTTCAATGCAATATATATTTTTCCCCACTTCTATCTTGCACCACAACCAACGTAAAGCTTAGAGAGTGGCTGCAGGAAATGCAATTTTCAATTTTACTTTATTTTGATGTACTTTATTTCCGTTTTTGTTTTGTATTTTTGTTCTTATATCTTTATTTATATTTTCCTGTTTTGAAATGTAGCAGCGCAATGAAGGTTCAATTTTGTTTTTTTTTTTT